ACAAACATTGCAGAGTAATTTTTGAAGAGAGAACTTTTACCATCTAAGAAATGAAGAAAAATTAACTAGCCCACACACTAATTTTTGGAGCCACACCTTCCTCCTAAAAGTCAGCACACCGGGCATAGGGCCTAGATTATCCAGGTAATTTGAATTTGCATTTGCTGTGAGTCTGTTCCAACTGTGTGACACTCCTTATGTGCCAAAATACAATTGCTTTCCATCAATTTTTTTTTAAATGGCTGACTTTTTTAGACATAAACTACTAGTCTTTTTTTCTGGGATGCCTCTAGGTGATCTTGAACCCTCGGCCTCTCAGTTAGCAGCTCAGCAAGTTAACTGTCTTTATCATTGCCATGATGGAATTATCTCCTGCAAAAATGTGTTGTCATAAGCCTGTGTTAACTTATTTTCACACTTGTGAATGCTTTGTCTTTTTATACTAGTAAGCCAGGATTAATGTAAAACATATCTCAAGTTAGTTTCTTTTGAGATATATAAGAGTAAGGACCTGGTCTGTCCATTTGCTGTACAGAGGTAACTCATGGTTGCTGTTATACTAAGCACTGTGACTGATGTGTCAAATTCAGTAATGGTTACCCATGGTGGACAGTGTTTGGTGGAGCTCTCCAGTTAAACAAACTTGAAAGGCGGACTAGCATCCACTTCCAAAATAACTTGCCTCCAGAAACGTATGAACTTGGAGAAATGATGAAAGTTACCCAAGTTTTCAGGTCTTTCGTTCATAGGGTCACTATGAGTCGTCTACAGCTCGACGGCACTTAACATTAACAACAAGAGTAAGGACACTTGCAGAGGGAGCTGGGGCTCTACATGTAGAGATATACGTACAAGGAAACAAGAAACAAAAGCTAAAGAGCAGAGATGAAAAGCCTTCCCCTCAACCCTGAATTCAGATTTCTAGCCTCCAAAACTATGAGAAAAATGGATTTTTGTTTGTTAAAGACATCCACTTAAGGTATTTCTAATATAGCATCACTGAGACAATTGAACTTGATCAACCACTTAGGGATAGATGGGTGCTTTTGGGGGCCATCCATTATATTTTGACTTAGATTGACTCCATATCCTGCGGCTTGTACATAACAGATCTGATCAAAGGCACTGACTAATGCAGTTTTCACAGGAAAGCAAGAACACCTCCACAGGCTATAAAAGATCACTTCCACCTGCTGCTTGGACGCAAGTTCTTTTTTTTTTTTTTTTTTTGCTGAGTCCAGCCTTGCAGCTTAAGCCAGAATGCCTGGATGCTCTTTGGTCAGCTAGCAAATAAGAAGTGCTACAGCTTATTTTAAAATTCAACTCTGTCTATCTTTACAGGTTGGAAAGAAGACCAGAGGCAAATCTAGAAACTAAGATAGGGAGGAATTTTTGAAGCAAATTAACCATCTGCCTAGAAGTATTTTATTTCAAGAACAGCACTGAGATAAAATAATGCATTGTTAGCAGAGGTTGAAAAACGGTGAGAGTGGCTGAAATTATAGACCATTGGTGCTGGAAGGGGCCTTCATGAAGGCGCAATCTAGTCATTTTGTAAATGAGGAAATTCAGTTGGGTATAGGCTTAATGACTTAATGCCGGCAAGCATCCATTCCCCTGATAGGATGCAAATCATAGTAAAAGCAGAAAGGGGCGTGTTGGAATCATTAAGGTGACGCATGTGTTGAAGACAAGAAAACTGAGAACAATAAAGATGGAAAAATAAGCTCAAGACTTAAAAAGAGAACTAGCCAAGAAGCTGGCCAGCTAGACTGGGGAGGGGGAGGAGAGGGAGGCTTGGCCCCAGACACATTGTCCCTGTAACGGGAGCAGCTTATTAAAGCATTGACTCAGGGTTCCCGGCACACTCAATAAATTGAGAACCAAGCACTGCTGGATTTCTCTCTGCCTAAAATGCCTAAAGGCCAGAAAATGGATCAAGAGCGTTCGCCTCTGTCTGGTGCTTGGTCACTTAGGCGCCTCCATGCCCTTGACCCTGCCTCCCTTCTTTATTAGCCCACTGGTGGGAGTTGCTATCAACTCAATTCAGATTCATGACAGCCCCCCATGTGCTTAGAGTAGGATTTTTGTGCTGAGTTTTCCAGACTGTGGCCTTTCAGAAGCAGATCACCAGGCCTGATTTCCCAGGCATTTCTGGGTAGGTTTGAACCACCGACATGTCATTTAATAGGCTGGTGCTTAACCATTTATGCCACCTGGGAGCTCCTTTCTTTGTCTTGCTCTTTCTCTTCTCTCCTTTCTCTCTTTTCTACCTCAAAGCTCAGAATAGGCCTTTTCCTCCTCTCTGAACCTCCCTTGCTAGCAGGAGAGGAACCACTTTGTCCATGTTAGCCTGTCCCTGCCCCACCCCCCCAGTGGGCCCTGAGCCCCTGGAAGGAGACGTGCGTGAGAAGAGGACCTGTGAGATCAGCTTGGTCAGGAGCACCTCTCCTCAAGGCAAATGTTTCCAACACTATCCTCATTTTCACTCTGAGGGGGAGAGAGTTGGAAGTACAAAACTGACTAGAGTTCACTGAGCAGTAGCAACAGTTAAGCACTAACCAGAAAGTTAGAGGTTCACACCTTGGAAGCCAAGCCTGGTGATCCTCTTCGGAAAGTTCCCAGCTTTGAAAATCCTGTGGGGCAGGCGTTTCTCTGCACACATGGGGCTGCTGTGGCTTGGAAGGAGCTTGAAGGAGACTAAGAGTAGCAGGAAGGTAAAGCTGACTGGTATGGGCTGAGCCTGTACCTCAGGTTTCATCATCAACCTGGGCCCTCCTGGGGGGATGTAAATCACTCATTCAGTCTTGCTGGCTTGAGTCTCCTTTGATGTTAAAACAAACACAGCAGCAATAATAAAACCAAACTAGGATGAAGTGGGAAGGAAACCTTGCTGTGATCTTGAGATCAGGAAGTAAGAGTGCCAACTACAGATCTAGAATTGGGTGAGGAGAGCAGAAGATGCCCTGTCCTCCCCTGTGGGAGAGCCAGAGCAGCTGGGAAGGCTTTAGTGTAACTTCGACAGCCTGGGCCTGACACTAGCCTTCTCTTTGCATGAACACCTTGGCACTAGCTTCTGTCTTCTACAAGCTGCATATCCTTCCTTTGGCCTGAGAAGCAAGGAAGGACTCTGTGTGGTGATTGAAAGTTTACTGTTCAGGGGCAGCCCTGGAAGCCATGTGTGTCTGAGTGAGATGAGAAAGACCTAGCAGATAATTTGCCTCCTATGGGGCCTTTCTCCACGTGCCTTGGCCTCTGGGTTTGCTCTTTCTTTTTCTGGTCACATTGCTTGCCTGATGAGAGATACAGGAGGTGGTTTACAACATGCCCTAAGGGCAGCACAGTCCAGCAAACCCAATGAGGCATACAAATAAATCATTATTAACTGCCTCCTTAAATCTGAGACTCATATTTCCTTCATATTTAACCTGCATGATAACAGGACGCCTTTTACAACCTATGACTATAGTTAACATTTCCTTGATATAGTTAGTTTCTTTCATCTCCCTAAACACTGTTATTAAAACTGTTGTTGTTTTTGTTGCCGATTGCCATCAAGTTGAGCACGACTCATAGTGACCCTATGAACAAAAGGCCTGAAGGTTTTCTGTAACTATCATCATTTATCAAAGTTCATGGAGTTTCCATAGGCATGTTGTTCAAGAAGTGGATGCCACAATGAACACAAAAAATTAGAAAGCAAAAAATCCATCAAAGGAGAAAAATTAGCGTTCCAGTTCCTAGAATAATAGGTTTAAAATAAAAGAAAATTGTAAAGTCAGGAAAATAGGGTGACTAAATCTTGTAGTCATTGCTTAGAATGAAGGAAGTATTGCTTAGTTTGTCCTCTCTCTGTAATGTCCATGCCTCTTTTCTATTTCTGTTTTATCTGAAATGTTGGTTGTGACACCTCCAGTTTAGACAGTGGTACAAAGAGTAGTAAAGCTGAAGTCCAGTCTTTGATATGTCTCACCATCATGCGTGCTCCCTGGGCTGTCCCCAGGCTTTTCAGGGCCCCATACTCCTAAAGGGCATCATACCTTCCCCACTTAGACACAGTGTCCCTACACACCACCCTAGGAACAGGGAGGCCTGGAAAGATTCCTTCTCCCTCCAGATAATGTTTCCTCTCTTGTAAAATCACATTCCCCCAGTTTCTCAAATGTTTGTAGGTTTGCATTTCTCCCCCTGCCTCCAACAAAGTATTTGTCAAATGTATAGAATTGCTAATTTTACTCCAAGTAAATTATACCCTCAGTAAACCTCGAGTTTCAAAACACCCAGTCAAGCCACACATGTTCATATTTGTTGTTGTCCTTACAGAAGTGTTTGTAAAATATAGAGAACAATTTAAATGTCTGTCACAAAAGGACTAGTCAAATGAATTATGGCAATTACAATTAATAATGTGTTGTGAATGCAGTTGCTAAATACAGTTAGATTCATACACCTAATATGAAAATCATGACCTGCTTCCTTGAACCTAAGTGGAGAGAGGCAGGCAAGCAGAGTTCTGAAAAGTGGACACTCTTTGTTCTCTGCTGTGTGTATGTGTGTGTGTGTTCATGCACTTACGTTTATTTATAAATAGCCAGAAGGATATAAGAGAATCTGCTAACAGGGCTCTCTAGATGAGGAGACAGGTATTGAGGAACAGGAATAGGGAAGAAGATTGAATTGTCTTTTGTGCATTATTATATACTAGACATATGTTGTTTATTTAAGATATGTTGTTGTTGTTGATTGTTTTTGAGTAGACCCAACGAACAAAAGGCCTGAAGCTGCTCTGCAACTATCGACATTTATCAAACTTCATTGACTTTCCACAGGCATGTTGTTTAGGAACTCTGAACAAATAAACAGCTTTCACACACACACACACACACACACACACACAAACCCAAACAAAAAAAACACCAAAATGAAAACAAAACTCAGAAGCTAGTCATATTAGCAGTGTTCTCCAGCTGATTGCTAAATGACTTGTTTTTCTGTTTTAGGGCCGTCCTATGAGCCAGCTCACTCACCCACCAGCAGTGGGAAGAAGCTCTTTGCTCCAGTCCCATTCCCTTCAGGCTCCACTGAGGATGTGTCTCCCAGTGGTCCCCTGCAGCCCCCTCCGCTTCCCCAGAAAAAGACTGTAAGCAGGGCGGCCTCTTCCCCAGATGGCTTCTTCTGGACCCAAGGCTCCCCCAAGCCAAGAGCCACGAGTCCCAAGCTGAACCTCAGCCACTCCGAAACCAACGTCTGCGTCCGCGAAGAGTCTCATTTCAGCTCCTCAGGCTCAGGGACCCGCCACCATCATGTCTTCTCCTCCGAGCCCCTGGAGAAAGCTGTCAAGGGCAATGGTCACTGGGCCCCTGCGGCAGGACTAGCAGGCAACAAGAGAGGCTGTGGGAGCCCCAGCCTCCAGGGCAAAGGGCCCGCCTCCGCCTCGTCCTCCCAGCTGAGCGTGTCCAGCCAGGTCTCCACCGCCAGCTCCCAGCTGCAGCTGCACAGCCTCCTAAGCAGCATCAGCAGCAAGGAGGGCACCTACGCCAAGATGGGGGTGCTCTTCGCCCAGTCCCTGCTCCGCCTCGTAGCCAAGTGTGAGGACCTCTTCATGGGTGGCCAGAAGAAGGAGCTTCACTTCAACGAGAACAACTGGTCACTCTTCAAGCTGACCTGCAACAAGCCCTGCTGCGACTCCGGGGATGCCATCTATTACTGCGCCACCTGCTCCGAGGACCCCGGCAGCACCTATGCTGTGAAAGTAGGTACCCCCCACCCCCACCTTTTCTGTGGTGCTGTGAACTGGCTGGTCCCGGCATTGCCGGAATTAGGACGTGAACAATTCATTTTACTTCTCTAAGCTTTCTGTGCAGAGTCGGTTTCTAAAGTTTCTTTTAACATGTAATGCTAAAAAATTTCTCTCTCGACCTAGCCTTGAAAATGATGCTGTGCGATTGCTTCTGAATATACTCTGTATTCTGTGCTTTAATATGGGTCCTCTGCGATCTAGTGGCTTAAGAAACAAGTTGCCTTTGATACAGGTTTTCCCTCTGTGCCTACTATATGGCAGGTACTTTGCAAAGGTCTGGGTTCCTTCCGAAACAGTCTAAGGAGGGAGAGGGGTAATTAAGGTGATGATTCTTCAAATGTCAGAAGAGTGCTGAACCTCTCTGAAGCAATGAGTAATAATAACTGCATTTATTGAGCAGATTCTGGGTGGACAGATTAATCTCATAACCTCTGATCTTCACAGTAATTCTGCAGGCAGGCTTACAGGTAGGATCTAAGTTCAAAGTGATAAGTAATTTGCCCACAGGGAGTTACTTGGTGGCCCAAGGGGATTTGAACTCTTGTTTATCTGTCTGCAGACCTTATGTTACAGTTTCACCAATTAAGGAAACTTAAGCTCAGAGGAGTTAAGTGACTAATTCAAGGCAACACAGCTCTTTAATCTTGACCTGGGATCAGGGCTAACGCTCTCACCTCCTGACTTTCTGAGGGCTCAGCTTTGATCAGGCTGGGTAAGCAGTCCTCACCCAGGTATGTCTTCACTCCAGACTTCTTTTTGTTCTTTTTCCTCTCCCTTTTTGTGTTTTTGAATGACTACAGAGGGAGTTCTGGCAGCATAATCTATTGTAAATTGTACTGCTAATCTAAAGGCTGTACATTTTTAACCTATGAGCAGCTCCTTTTGGAAGAAAGATCAGCAGTTCACTCCTGTTGACATTTAGAGCCTTGGAAACTTGATGGAGGGTCACAGTAAGTCAGAACCGACTCGGTCATGGCAGTGAGTGAGTGACTGAGGAGTCTGAAGCCCTTATATAAATGCAGACCTTTGTGGAGGGTTGAGGAGGGAGACGCCAGTCTCTTCTGCTATCACCTGTACAAGCCATTCTTTTATCCCAGTTAGAAGCATGAAAACAGTGTTCTAAAGTGACAAGATCTTGTTAAAGCATCCTTTTGCTTACCAGCGAAAAAAGGGTTTCAAGATCATCATTACTAGTCCAGGAAAAGTTCAGAGAGGGTTTTTTTAAGACATTTAAGATACGGCCATAAAATAGAAATTAGAAACCCCTGATAGGCGTTCAGCTTCAGTCATTACCATCAAGTGGGTCCAAGCTAATATCAGCCCAGACTGGGTTTCCAAGGCTGTAGATCTCAATCCAGGGAGACTCCCATCTTCATCCCGCTGGTAGGTTTGAACCACTGGAGTTACAGCCTCTGGGTTAGCAGTGTGACTTGCTGTGATCCATACCACCAGAGTTCTCTATATATTCAAAATGCTCTATATAATTACTTTCTGTGAAAAAACAAGGGAAGTCACTACTTATTCCAAACACAAACTCATTGTCATCGAGTCAGTATCAATTCACAATGACGGGGTAGGACAGAATAGAACCACCTCTTTAGCTGCTGGTATACTAACTACACTTCCAAGGCTGTAAATCTTAACAGCAAGTGACTCCCTTTCTTCTCCAGTGGAATGACTAGTGGTTTCAAACTGCTAACCTTCTTGTTAGCCGAACACTTACCCCTCTAGACCCCCAAGGCTCATTGAGTTTGCTGCTAGCTAGAAGCATCTATTTAATAGTACAGAAAGCAAGGGCCCGGTAGATGAGCGAGTATGAACAAGATGGTCAGCACCAGAAATGGAGCATTAGTGGGACAGTGGTTAAGCACTCAACTTGCAACTGAAAAAGTGGCCAGTTGAACCCATCCGTGGTTCCAAGGGGAAAAACCCTTGTCGTCTGCTTCCATAATGATTACAGCCTAGAACACTGTCTGAGGGAGGTCTGCCCTGTCATACTTGGTCGTGTTGAGTCACAATCAATTCAGGGGCACCCAGCCACAACAGCTACTATGTGAAAGATGATAAAGTCCTGAGAAAGAGCCGGTAGCTATTCCCTTGATACACTTTCCTGGCACCCCTCAACCAAAAGTAAAAGAATAACATGAATCCCTGCATTTCCCTCTCTATCAGGATCAGGCCGTATCCAATAGAAGACGATGTGATCAAACTCACCTGTGGGGTAGGAGGGGTCAATCTTTAAGACAGGAGTATCATTGTAGGTTCAAAGCTGGGTTCTGCTCTCATCTACTGACTCAAAATTGAAAGGGGGATGGGGGGAGAGGAGCCGAGCTTCTCATCTAATAAAAGGAACATAAATTTGAATTCCATTAAATGCCAAGACATTGGAGGCACACTTAGGAAGTTTTTTTGCTTTTACTAGCCATGGTGAATGGAAGGGAAAAAAAAGTAATCCATGAATTCTGTTTCTACCTTGACCCCTTTCTGTGTACAAATGAATTAGTTCCTCTTACTTTGTCTCCTGAGGCTGAACCAAGGGAACTCATTTGGTATCAAGGGACAACTAGTCTCTCTGAAAAGAAGCCTAGTGAAAGGGGGGTTCTTCTCTTTTTCTGAGGGAAAAAAAGTGAGTAATGTGGTTCGTCTATGAGAATAAAGGGCCGCCTGGTGCAAGATCACCCACCTGCCTTTATTACAGAATCAGAACATCCACATAGCTCTGTTTTTTAGCATTCACAAGTAACTATGATAAGAAGCCTAAGCTCTAGGGCCTCATATAATAATGTAGAATTAACTCTATTCTCAGATGAGCCATGCAGAAAGTGCAGCTTCCCCAAAGGAGATTACTAACAAACAGGGCTGCTCATTGTCTTAGAAAGCTAGCCAGAAGGAAACCAGAAGCCTTTCCTTCTCTAAAAAGGAGAGCCCCCCGGGGAGTCTTTTCTGTAGCACAGAGGACACTTGGTAGCTCTAGAAGCCTGTCTGCATTAATGTGAAAAGGCCACAGGGAGAAGACCTTCAAATATTCACACTATGGTAATCATGAATCACAATGACCGGGGTAACAATACCGATTTGCAAATGTGCCCTGCCCACTGATGGACGGGAGGCGTTGTGTGTGTTGAGCATCTTTTTCACACTTGCAGCTGTTCCACTTCATTAGTGCTTGTGTGTAGATGAAGTGACAGTCTTCTGAGCGTCCTCGCCAAGGGAGAGGGGCTCAGCTGGCCTGTGCAGGCTGGGGGCTGAGGGCATGTGATCTGCGCATGCTAAGCAGGGAGCAGACCCTGAAGTCAGGCTGCGGGAATCCCGATAACTAAGGAAAGAAGGCTCGCACCTGCTTGCCCCTCCTGCTGGAGCCTCTGTTTGGGTGCAGGGACAGGCAGAAGTGAGGAGATAAAGCCGGCTCTTGTCACTCTATTTCATGAATATGTACAGGCAGGGGGGAAATTCATTAGCAGTGTTCGCTTTCAAACCTGTTTCATTTTCCCCGGTAACCCTGCAGGACGAATAGAACCACCACAAAGCCAAGTGCCACATCTCTTCTCCCAGTGCGGCGGGCGGGTTCCAACCACAGACCTTTCCATTGCCCATGTGGTGCTTTACGGCAACACTAAATTCCAGTTCGCAATTAGGAGCCAGTGTTAAACTAAGCCTTTTCCCTTTTTGAAATAGACGTGACTTTGTCCACATTTTCAACCATGAATGTGGCTCCGGAGTTTAAAATGAGACTTGGCTGAGGCCAAGTTTGAAATTGGACCTGAGCCAAAGGTCTGGGCTAATGTCTTGAGCCAAATCCAAGACAGACACTCAGAAAAAAAAAAGGAAAAAAATGGAGCTTAGGCAAAAGGCGTGTGGGAGGGGCAATGAGGCTGTGATCCAATGAGCAAGCAGAGGAAAAGCCCCCTACCTTCATCCCCGCCCTGAGCCAGTGGGCTGAGGGTCCTCTGCGCCTGCTCCCGGATCCTCAGCACCTCCTCAACATGTACTCTGCACAGAGGGGCTCCTCAGTCCCCCACCCATGAGGAAGCTATTGGTCTTGCCAGAGGACCCAGCTCACTGATTTGAAACGCAGCCAGCACAGCCCCCTTTCCATTTACCCTGCTCTCTCATTTACATCTCTGTGCAAAATGTCAGAAACTCCAAGCTAAGAGTGTTTGCTGGGCTTTTGATACTCTTGAGAAAAGTGTCCCTGGGAACACTTCCCAGGCCCCGCAGTGGCTGTGCTGGTTTGTCCAGTACCTGAAGCCAGCTCTGGGTTGTTTAGTGCTACATACGACTTCGGTAAAAACCTCAAGAGCCATAATAACCATGAGAACCATTCAGAGGAAGGGTGCTCTGTGGGCCAGACATCACTCTGGAAGCAATGCCTGTGTTCTTCCACTCAGACTGCACAGCAGCTTATGAGTAAAGAACTCACTGCCTCTGCTGTACCGAGGAGAAAAAAGTTTGAGCTAAGCAACTTCCCCAAAGTTACAATACTATTAAGTGGTGGTGCTTGTTGAGTACCATGGAGTCAGAACCCAGAGTTGATATTTAAACCTGATATTTTAATTCTGAAGCCCCAATTGAGACATCTCAAACCCTTAACCCATTGCCATCTCATCAGAAACTTAATTAAAATTGTTGTTGTTATTATATGCCGTCACCTGTGACTCCTAGCGACCCTATGGACAAGAGCTCTAAACCCTGCTCTGTCCTGTGCCAACCTTATGGTCTCTGACACACCTACCCCGATTACCCTGCTTACTGAATCGATCCATCTCATCGAGTGTCTTCCTCTCTTGTGTTTTCACTCCACCCTCCCAAACATGATGTCCCTCTCCAAGGATTTGGATGAGACGGATCATTACCTCCTTGTAGCATATTCAAAGTATGTCAGATGAAGCTTCAGAATACTTCCCTCCAAGGAGCAGCCCGGTTTCACCCTCTCCAGGACAAACCTTTTTGTTCTCCTAGCAGTTCACGGTATATTCAACACTCTTCTCCATCACCACAGGTTTATTCAATACTCTTCTCCATCACCACAGCTCAAAGGCATCAATTCTCTTTTTATCATCCCTAGTCACTGTCCAGCAATGACAAAGACTATGGCCTAGATCTGGCACACGTTAGTCTCCAGACTGATGTCATTGCTCTTCAGTACTCTGGAGAGGTTCCTGTCAGCTGACTTTCCCAGTGCACTTCGTCTCTTGATTTCCTAGCAGCTGCTACCAAGAGTGTTGATTGTGGAGCCAAATAAACTAAAACTGTTAACAATCTCAATTTCTTCACCATCCATAATGACGCTGACAATTGGTCCAACCCAATTGGTGATAATCTTTGTTTTCTTGATGTTGAGCTTCAATCCATATTGAAGGCTGCAGTCTTTGACCTTCTATTACTACATTAATTTCTTCCCCCCCCCCCACCAAATGGCCATTTTAAAAGTTTCTTTAGCCTGGGCTCCTTCATGTCAGGTTGTATGGAAAGAGGACTTATCTAGGTAAAACTACCTCATAGTGTTCTCAAGATGATAATCTTTAGGGAAGCGGATGACCACATCATTTTCCTGTAGCAGCTCATGGGTTTGAGCCAAGTGACCTCTTGGTTTGCAGCCAAGTGCTCAACTACTGTATAACCAGGGCTCTTCCCAAGAACATGTATCAGTGTGTGAGTAATATAAAGAGCCATAGTGGTCCAGTACATTAAGGGTTGGGCTGCTAATGAAAGAGCCAGCAGTTTGAACCCACCCGGTGTTCCACATGAGTAAGAAAAGACAACCTCCTGCCTTTAAGATTTACAGCTAAGAAACCAGACAGAGGGTTGTCTTGGGTCAGAACAGACTAGAGAGCAGTAGAATAGGTTTGGAAGCTTATTAGCAAAGGAATCTTTGGGTAGTGCAAATGGTTAAATGCTCAACTGCTAGTTAACCTTAGCCCGAAGGTTAACAGTTCAGACCCACTCAGAGGTGTCTCAGAAGTCGGGCCTGATGATCTGCTTCTGAAAGGTCTAAGGAGCACATGGTGCCACCATGAGTTGGAATCCACTCTGCTCGACAATCTTGAGCAAATCATTTGACCTCTTGAAGTCTTTTCAACTCTGGTGAGCTTGTGTGGCCTAGCTGTAGGGAGTTGCTGGCCCGTGTGTGGGAGTCTCTATTGGCTTGAATCCACCAGGTGGTAAGAGGGAGAAAGATCGGTGATCTCCCCTAAGATTTACAGCCGGAACCACTGGAGGTCAGCGTTGAGTCAGTTCCATGGCAGTGCGTTTAAGGGGTGGGGGGTGGGGGGTTGGTTGAGAAGTCTGTTTGCTCCTCTGTAACAGTACCTTGCAGGTTGGAAGGTGCAAGAAGACATTGCATCAACACTGCTTAGTTGGCACGGGGCCTTGCACAGGCAGGAATCCTGGAGGTTCCTGTGTGGCTGTGAAGCCCTCACTGGAGGAGTGACCCAGATATCAGCCTTGCTTTGCCCACACAGTGGGCAGGTTCACACGTGGCAGGTGACCAGTTACTTTGTGTATTTACATGTGAAGTTATTTCTTTTTTGGAGAACACCAATTTTTTTTTTTTTTTTTTCGCATTGTGTTTCAGAAGACAGCCAAATAGAAATTGAATACAGTTGAAAGTGCTAGGGTGATTTTTAATAAACAAAGCCAATAGCGAGCCTGAAATCATGCCCTTCAGACACCTATTCCAAAATCATTTTTGTTAGTGTCACAGGAAGCAGCATCTGTGATAGGATGTACTCCCCTTTTCTTTCCATTGAACCAACTTCCATAATAGGGAGATTACTAAATTAATTTGTTTTTCCTCCATTTGGCATCTAAAAAGTTTCCTCAGGCTGCATTCTTCTACGCCAGGTTTCATGCTGTGAGGGTTTGTATAGCTGCAGTATAAATAAATCTCTGTTCAAAAAGGTGTTTGCAATAAAACTTCTAAAAACATTGCCCATAAGCTTGTGGTGCTTTATAAACACGCCTGTAATCATTCACGTGTGGCGATGTAGCAGCCCAAAGGCAGGCTTATATTTGGATTATGGGAGAGATGGTATTTTCTAGGTAGATGCGGGGTGCCTTTGTTCTCAGGATTACTGCACTGATCCTCATGCTTCTTTAAAGCTTGGGTGAGGTTGCACATATCCCTCAGAAAAGAGACCACCAAACATTCTGAGCCCCTTTCAGGTGTAATTACTAGGAAACGGAGGTGTGACAGAAGGCCATTATAGTTGGCTCACAGCTCTCCAGTTGAGTGGCAGCTGGATGCGGATTAGTGCTCCTTGAGACCCTCAGGTGGCTGGCACTGTCACTAATACAAGATGAGACTGAAGGGGAGGGAAGACTAAGATTCCGAGGCCCCATCCCCATAGAGGAGTGTGAGCTCATCCATGCTGTTTATGCCTCCCTTCCGTCAGAGAGTGCCTTTGGGGAACTTTGGGTTTCCCCTTCCTTGCTGAACTGTTTTCTCTGTGCTGCTGTGACTCATACTTGGAGGAAAAGTATGTGGTTCCCACAGAACACTGCGCTGCAAAACAGCCCTGCAGATCCCCCCAACCTGGTGAGCATAGTCCATTGAAACCCGTGGGAGCCGAAACAGGGCAGCGCGGGCTTGTTCTGAGTCTGGCACGTCTTCTACCTTTGACAGGATGCAGCCTTTACTACTTTTCTGTCACTCATTTTCATGGGAAAGACTTGAGTTTTTTCTTCTCTGGCAAATTTCTGCCTTTCACAGGTTCTGATTTTTGCTTACTATTTATTTAGCCTGGATTTAGAAACTAGGACAACCTGAGAGACTTTGGTCAAGTGCTTGAGGCACAACAGAGCCTGCAGCTGCCCTTGAGATAGCTCAAGAATAGACCATCCTAGAGGCCAAACACACCTGCTGGAAGGTAGCTGCCCTTTCAGTGAGAGAGATGGGGATTAGCCTGTGTAAACACTGGCCTCATGAGAATTTATCCAGCCTGTACTGTGGACAATGAAAGTCTTCCTGTAGTATCAGAGAGCTACGCTGCCTGTGGGTCTGTAGGGACCCTGGACTTGTGAGGTCGTATGTTCAGCATAACACCCTCCGCATTTGTTGTTGTTGTTGTTATGTGCCATCGAGTCGCTTGCGACTCATAGCGACCCTATGTACAACAGCCCTAAACTCAGCTCTGTCCTGTACCAATCGCACTGTCTCTGACACTCATCCCAATTATCCCAGTCACTGAATCAATCCACCTCATAGAGGGCCTTCCTCTCCTGCGCTGTCCCTCCACCCTCCCAAGCATGATGTCCCTCTCTAAAGACCGGTCTCTCCTCACAACATGTCCAAAGTATGTTAGATGGAGCCTCAGAATCCTTGCCTCCAAGGAGCCACCCGGTTTAACCCTCTCCAGGACAAATCTGTTTGTTTTCCTAGCAGTCCATGGTATTCTCAATACTCTTCTCCAGCACCACAGCTCAAAGGCATCAATTCTCCTTCTATCCTCCCTGGTCATTGTCCAACTCTCTGATGCATAACAAGTGATTGCGAAGACCATGGCCTGTATCAGACGCACCTTAGTCTCCAGAGAGATACCATTGCTCTTCAGTACTTTGGAGAGGTCCCTAACAGCAGACTTTCCCATGGCAATGCGCCTTTTAATTTCCTGGCTGCTGGTGCATTTAGTTATTTTAAAAAACTGACAAACTGTGTTCCAAAGTAACTGCACAATTATACATTTCCACCAGCAATTATAGGAGTGTTCCCATTTCTCCTTGTCCTTATCAACACATGTTATTTGTTGCTGGATTTTTGCTTCTGAGTTTTGGGGTTTTTTTAAAAAATGAAAATTATACTTGTTATGTGCACCATCAAATCAGAACCAACTCATAGTGGTCTCTCCAGCAGGATTTCAAAGGCAGTGAATCATGTGGAATTGGAGGAGATTACCCATCTTTCCCCCATGGAGCGGCTGGTGTATTCAAACCTTCCTTTTTGTTGCCAGTTCAACTCCTTACCATTAAGTCATCGGAGTGCTCTTAAATCTATGCTAGTAGTTGTGAACTAGTATCTCATAGAGGTTTTGATTTGCATTTCTATAAAGAACATGACCATCTTTTCATAGATATGCTCATATCTTTTGTCCATTTTTAATAGTTCATCTAACTCTTCAGTTGTAAAAGGTCTAAAAACATATGGTTGGCTTATTTTATTAGACAAATGTTTTGCAGACATTCTCTCGCATGACTTGTTAGTCTTTTCATCTTAACACATACCTGTTTCATTTTTCTTTTGTTTTTAATCACTGAAGTCTTGAATTTCGATGAAGTCATTTTCTCAAGTTTCTTTCATGGATTATGCTTTTGGTGTCATATTTCAGAAATCTTGACAAGGTTCTCCTTTGTATTGTTTTCACTTTTATATTTTAGTCTCAGTGATCCATCCTGAGTTAATTTCGTGGTATGGTGTGAAGACGGGGTAAACTGGACGTCCAGTTGTCCCAGAATGATTTGTTGAATAGACTGATGGACCCCACTTTTGACCTCCCTTCTCCTTTTCCTCGCAGATCTGCAAAACCCCTGAGCCCAAAGCCGCCTCGTACTGCAGCCCTTCTGTTCCCGTGCACTTCAACATCCAGCAGGATTGTGGCCACTTTGTCGCCTCTGTGCCCTCCAGCATGCTTACGTCTCCTGATGTGCCCAAGGACCCGCTGTCTGCCCTCTCTTCCCACGCCCCTGCCCAGGAGCAGGACTGTGTGGTGGTCATCACCCGCGAGGTGCCCCACCAGACCGCTGCTGACTTTGTGCGGGACTCCGCCAACAGCCATCAGACGGAGCCTGAGGTTTATGAGCGGCGCGTGTGCTTCCTGCTGCTGCAGCTCTGTAATGGGCTGGAGCATCTCAAGGAGCACGGGATCATTCACCGGGACCTGTGCTTGGAGAACCTTCTGCTCGTGCATTGCAACCCTCAGGCCTCCCAGCCAGCCACGCCCAGCAAGCCTCCTGCCGCCCCGAGCCAGCTTTCCTCTGCTCCCACCTCCAGTGCCCCTCCTGTCACCACTGCTACTGCCTCTGCTGCTACTCCTTCCACTTGCCCCTCCACCACCCCAGCTAATGTTCCCACCAGCCTCCCAACTGCCCCCACCTGTCAGGGAGTTCCAGGGGAGAAGCACTTGCCCCGGCTCATCATCAGCAACTTCCTGAAGGCTAAGCAGAAGCCAGGTGGCACCACCAACCTGCAGCAGAAGAAGAGCCAAGCCCGCCTGGCCCCCGAGATCGTGTCTGCCTCCCAGTACCGCAAATTCGATGAGTTTCAGACAGGCATCCTCATCTATGAGCTGCTCCACCAGCCCAACCCGTTTGAGGTGCGAGCCCAGCTGCGGGAACAGGACTACCGGCAGGAAGACTTGCCCCCACTGCCCAGCCTGTCCCTCTACTCACCAGGCCTGCAGCAGCTCGCCCACCTGCTGCTGGAAGCCGACCCCATCAAACGCATTCGTATAGGTGAGGCCAAGCGGGTGCTGCAGTGCTTACTGTGGGGGCCCCGGAGGGAGCTGGTGGAACAGCCGGGCTCACCCGAGGAGACACTGTGTGGCACCCTGCAGAACTGGATCGACATGAAGCGGGCCCTCATGATGATGAAGTTTGCAGAGAAGGCCGTGGACCGCCGGCGTGGGGTGGAGCTGGAAGACTGGCTCTGCTGCCAGTACCTGGTGTCCACCGAGCCCGGAGCCCTCCTCCAGACGCTGAAGCTCCTGCAGCTTCTCTGAGCCAGCCCCAGCCTGCACTTTAGCTGCCCCCACCGGCCTCCTCCATTCCCTTTCTTTGCTGCAGAAACATCAGTGTCTCTTTGAGAAATGGTACAAATGACTGTCATACTTGGATATAATATATATACATAGATATAGATATAAATATGAAAGACTAAAGGTGTTATTGCGCACTCTACCTTTTCTCATTAAGTCACACCCATCTCCTCTTGTAATTATGTAGATTCTTAGATAAGAGCCAAGTCTCAAGACAGTTCTCCCAACACAAATGAAGCAAGAATCTGGCCTCATGCAATCCACTGTGGAATCTCTCCACTCTCTCATCAGATTGTTTTTCTAAAAAAACCCTATCATAAAAAAAAAAAATAAATAACTTTTGACTGGACCCTTCTCTTGTCTGAGCGCATTCATTTATATGGTGAGCAATAGTCAACATAAACCATGGGAGCAGGGGCAGGACCTAGTAGAGGTGTGGAGGTCTTAGCTTTCTCATGAAGGAAAACTATCTGTGGAAGAATAGGCAAACTGTAGCCAATTCCTCTTCCCTGCATCTCTCTGCCCATTCTGCAGTCCCCTGGAAGGAATCTGCCCCATACCCAGTCGGTGCAATCCCAGTGGTTCAGAAATCGACCTGACTGCTGCTCCCTGTTCCAGTTTGCTGAACAGGGTCTCCGGTTGTATCAGAGACCTTGCTGAGAGTAGAACCCGCTGCAGATGGTTCAAATGAAAACACTGCCAACAGTTAAGTGCTTAACCGCTAGCTGAAAGGTTGGCAGCCCAAACCCATGCGGTGGCACCTCGGGAGAGAGGTCTGCTTTGAAAGCCAAGTGGAACAGTTCTGCTCTACACATGGGGCTTCTGTGAGTCAGACCTGACTTGATGGCAGCTAAAACCAGCAAGATAGCAGGGGGTCTACTGCTAGGGGTGTGGGCAGGGTGAAAAGGATGAGCAAAAGGTGAGGCAAAGACAAAGCCTGGAACTCTGGAGATAACACCTTCAGGGGGTGTAGTACTGAGATCACTCATCAAGATGAAGGAGCACAGGGAAATAGACATGATTGCTTGCCTCATTTTGGACTTCATCTCCAGGCTAGTATCAGTGAGAAGCCAGGCAGCAAGGGAGCCTGGGCCATGCAGTCTGATGGAGCAGTCTCCCAGAGCAGAGGGGAAATGTACAGTGGATGGAGGCCAAGTGGGAAACAGCCACAGTTTCTATTGCAATAGATAATCAGCCAGCCATCGTTGACTTGGCACCAGCTCACAGCTCTAAATTGCACAGGAGGAAATTGCCTGTCTTCAATGAGCTGCTGGTGGATTCGAACTTCCAGCACTATCATTGGGTTAGCAGTGCCACACTGTACAGATTGGGCCAACAGAGGTGCCTTGTGGTGGATAATTTTATTGTTCAGTACTGTCAAGTCCAAACTAACTTATGGCTGACCTTCTAGTGGCTTTTCAGAGGCTGTAAATTATACGAGACTAAATTGCCAATATCTCCCATGGGACAGCTGGTGGATTCAAACCATGTGCCTTTGGGTTGGCAGTACAAATACTTATCTCTAAGCCACCAGATCTCTGTTTCACGTTATAGCAGAACAAAATAGAATTCAAGTATTTGAATGACAAGTTATTATTTTCAAACTGTTATACCAAGCTCTTCAGGTTTCCAATTTAAAAATGTATTCCTTTAACACATTTATTATTGCTGATCAACAAGATGGATTGACACAGTGACTGCAGCATAGGCTCAAGTGTGTCAGATAATGAGGATAGCACAATTTAGGACAGGGTTCAGGTCTGTTGTTCGAGGGTTCACTAAGAATTGTTCTGGATGGCACCTAACACCATCAAAAGTAGGCACTATATTGTCTTTACAGAAAGAACAAAGAAGTCCCAGAAGTTTGCTCTTTGTCAGTATCTTCTACTTTATAGCGATCCTATATACGACAAAAGGAAATGCTGGCTGGTTCTGCACCTTTTACAGAATAGTTGCTGTGTGAAACCCACTGTTGCAGCCACTGGTTCAGTTCAGCTCATGAAAAGGATTCCTTTTTTTCATTGAATCTCCACTTTACCAAGCATGGGGTTCTTCTGCATGAACCGATTCCTCCTCGTACCATGTACACAGTTACTAAGGAGCTTCTCAGGAGCATTCTGGCTGTAATACCTCCAACACAGATGTATTTGTTCTTTCAGTCATCCACAGTCTATTCAATATTCTTCACCAATACCACAATTCAAATGCCTCTATTCTTCAGCCTTCCGTATTCATCGTCCAGCCTTCACATGTCACCTGTTGTTCGGTGCCATCAAGCCTACTCTGTTCTTTAGTGAACCTACTATGCACAACCGAATGAAATCCTGCTTAACCGTGCACCATCTTCAGTCTCTATTATGTGAGACAATTGAAAATGCCATGTTTAGGTCAGATACACCTTAGCCCTCAAAGTAAGACCATAATTTTTATCATTTTGTAGAGAGGTCTTGTACAAAAGCACATTTAGTTGATATGTACACTTATGAAGGTAAACAGCCTTAAGACCTTGTGGTCAAACGGATTCGAGCTCATGGCATATGTGCCAAAGTGGAACTGTACTTCAGGGTTTTCAGTGACTAGTTTTTCAAAATTATATAACCAACCCTTTCTTCTGAGGCATTCTGGGTGGTCTAGAGCTGAGAACATTTTGATAATCAAGTACCTTAATCTTTTGCTCCATGCAGGAACTCCAAAAACTTTACACTTCTACTCAAAGTAGTTTCAACTCATGAACTAATTGATCGTCACACCTTTGTTAATAAACATGGACAGTTTAAAGCAAATGCAAAAAGCTTAAAGAATATTCACGCAATCTGGGGCTGAGGTTAGCAACCAGAATGAGGGAATTCCCCAAAGTTTCCTTATGCATATTCATTTCACTCCTTTGCTACCTCAACCTCCCAGTCTTCAGTCTCTAGCTGTGCAGGAACACTGACTTCCATCCACAGTGGGAAAGACAACACCAGGGCTCATTGGTAGTTTCAATTGTTGCTTGAACATTGAGGAAAGAACTGGCTAAAACCAGCTTCCAACTATGTTTATGCAGGAGAAAGAAAGAGCCTTTGAACATGGAAATCATAATTCTCCATAGGACATATCTGTTTCACAGGATATTATTTTGTCAGTTATTTGTTCCTGGGAACTTTCCAGGCAAACCCTCCGCCCTCAATTCGCTGTCTTTTGCTTTCTTGTTCTTTCTCACTTCAAGTAAATAAACAATACAGGCGGAGGAGGAGGCAAGCGTTCTGCCAGGGGAAGACAAGTGGCGCTTGGAAACACATGTCTCAGGAGGCACAATTCTAATCTCTGAATTAATTGCACCTTTTTTATATGCCACCCACTTCAGAAAGAAACTGAGATTGCAAAACAGTTTTCTAAGATGCCAAGTCATCCCAAAAGTAGAGGTGGAAAGAGAAGAACTATAACCATATATAATGGTTTGAGAAAAATAGTCATGGAGACACATAAAACTTATTCTAAACTAACAATCTAGAAAAATTAGATAGCAACTAGTTACAGAGTTTGTCTGTGTGTGCAATTTCAGGAAACAGCTCAGCTCATTAGGAGAAATAGATTTATTCCCAATGCTTGCATTAAAGGGAGTTTATCAAAGACCTCTTTGATTAAAGATAATTAGTAAAGTCCCTACAGCAGTTTTAATATTTTCCTAAGTACATCAATTTCTTATAGCTACCATTAGCGACATCGGAGGGAATAATGTTACAGTTTATCTCTGTTGAGGTATTTCTGTAGAGTAATTGCCATCATTCATCTCCATGTGGCGGCCTTTTCTATAAATGACAAGGACCAGGGCCATAAATATATTGTTTGATAAACAACGCTAGTCACTAAATTCAGAAGGGCAATCTATTTTTCTTACTTCAAAATACACCTTGGATGCTCAGCTTTGTCTCACAGAAAACTCAAGCACTAAAAAGGTTATATCAAGAAATAATACTTTGTTCTGTCCTTTGAACTGCAGGACCAGGGTTCAGTATTTCACGGCATCTGACTATTAAACACTCCTGATATCTCTGAGTTCATCTCTCTCCTTCATTCTTGGCTCTAAATACCCCAGCTCCTGGTATTTAAATCTCCAATTTTTCTTCTCTCCAACATTGAGTCAGCTCGCCCCCATATGCTTTCCACATTTATAAATTTTGTTCTTAATGGGTCTTTCTCTTTTTCATGCCAAAATGTGGGATCTGTCTTCTTCTCTTGAGTTATGTACTAAAATTCTTTTCCTGTAGGCGGTATAAATGCATACATTTATATTGTTATATCTTTGCCAGAAACAAGCTCTTCAAGGGATTACTTATTTACCACACACTCTGGAAGCTGTCATTACCACACTATGTAACATTTTCTGGGTTTCGAGAGCTTAGGGGTGAGAAGGGACTTCTGTAATATTCCATGTATACAGAACAATTATGAAGATTTGGAGAAGAAAGAACCATGTTACTTTAATGGCTTCTCTGAAAACCTTTGAAAATATGGTCAATAAGTGAAGCAGCAGTTTCCTCATCTACTGAAGATGTTAAAAATCTTTGAACATCTAAAGATAACCTTACTTAATCACACTAAAAGTATTAAATTAATAATATAAATGTGCTTGAAATATTTAATGAAAAGTAATGTGAATGACACACACATGTGAAGGGAACTTGGTGGCCTAGTGGTAAGAATCTGCACTGCAATCTCAAAGGCACACAGTTCAAATCCACCAGCAGTTCTGTGGGAAAGGGATGGGCAATCTCCTCCCAAGTGATTACTGTCTCTCAAAACCCACTGGAGGGTCACCATAACAATTAAGTGAATGGAATTGAGTCATTAGAAGGCAACATTTCTCTCAACTGATGTCAACAAGGGAGTTCTTGTGGTACAGTCTGCAGGGAGTTTCCCTCTAGCCCAAAGGCTGTGCCTCTCTGCTTCTTCAGATCCACCAGCTTTTCTGCAGGCGGGGT